GAGGGAGGGAGGGCAAATCTAGATTAGTGATTAGTGGCTGCTTAGGGCTGGCATAGCAATGAGATTGAGTGCAAATGGGCATGAGAGAAGTTTGGAGGGTAGAATTATTTTAAAGCTAGATTGTGGTAATGGTTGCATAACACTGTAAATAAATGAAAAATCACTGAATTGGATTTTAAGATACCTAAATTAAACTTTAATGAAGCTGTTAAAAATCATATTTAGAAGAATGGTAATGTTTTACTTTACCAAAATATAATCAACAGTCCTTATGAAAAAGTGTTTGATGGCAATGAAATTGAGTAAAAATGCAAAGAAGAAGCAAAACACACGTGATTTTAGCATGATTTAGCAAAAGTTTGAGGTATGAAATACCACAGAGATATAAACAACTTTAAGAAGACCCCAGAGAAACAAGAAAAAGTATAAAAATCTTTAAAATTAGAAACTATGAGGAAAATGTTAGAATAACTGACTTAAGAAAAGAAAAAGTAGCTTGATAACAGACCATTATTAAGTCAAGATGGCAAAATCCATTTGCTCAAATTGTAATCCATATGAGTTGTTCTACTTTTTTACATAGAAAAAAATCATTTTATGATTACTAACTTACCCATATAGATAGGGGTCCCACACGTGGACTGCATCATGGCCTCACTCCTGGAACCATGCTTCTTTACTGCTAAGCCAAAATCAGTCACCTAGGAGTAGAAAAGCAGGCACAGTTACCCATTTCCTGACCCAGAGTCCACTCATCCTGAAGACAGGACCTTGACCACACTGTAATTGTAGTTACTTGGGTGTTCTTGGGGGCAGGGACTTTCCTTATATTGTCAATAAGTTCTTTGATTTTTCCCTCCCCAGCCACCTCTCTGAGTGCAGAAAAAGCCTTGGTAGAGAAATTTGGTTTCTTGAATATTGAACTGACACCCAAGGCGTTGATTGTTCAGGCCTTCTATTTAAATTGACTTGTTCAAAATAAATTGTGTCTTAAAGAAGGCATTCAACTTTTTTCAGATAAAGCTTTTTTTCATTGCAAAAATACATTCTTGCCTTAGTATATTTGTTATTTATTTTTCTGATATTCAAGTTAAGGTCTAGTAAAAGCACTGTTATAAATGCAAATAATTATCCTTGTCAGCACTCACTGAAATGCCACCTTTTTATAATTGTTTATAATTGGTAAATACTATCTTTTATTTATTATTTTCTTTGTGATTCTACAGTATATTAATTAAAATTATTATACTATTAAAAACTACAAGAAAATTAGCAAGGAAAACAGCCTGCACTAACACCACAATACAACTACAAATACACTAGAGGCCTCATGCTGTAAACACAGTCTTCCCACTCTGGTCTAAATCTTGATTATTAAACATTTGGCTATTAAATATTCAGTGTGCACCCTTGATCTTATCTCTCAAGGTGGAACACTTTTGGGCCAAAAGTAGAAAAACAGGTACAGTTGTTAATCATACAACCAAATGTAGGCTTTCGGAACATACTGAATATGAAGTTGTCAGTAGCTTATAACTAATGTGTGACATCACTACTTTTGTAAATAGATGAATCAATTTCTCCAGAAGTTTTTATGAATATCCCACTTGGAGCATGGTACATATCTTTCTCTACAGAAAATCCATATAGATATCAAATACACAAAAGATTTCACACTCCAATTTAGTTGTTTGGAAAGCACTGATTCTCTCATTCACTAAGTATTAACTGAGCACATTCTATGTCTGAGGCACTACTCCCAGCTCCAACAGTGAATAAGACATACACAATTCCTGCCCTCATGGAATATACAGGCGAACTATTCAACATTTCCCTGCATAAACCAACAATGCCCTTGGACCTATTTATATCACACAGGGACTTAGCTTCTAACAGCAACTTATCCAGACACCATTTTATTCCAAAATTAACACATTCACATGCTTTGAAAGCAGCCACTATTAAAATGCTAAGTAATAAATAATGTATCCTATCATTTATTTGACATTAGGAACACTTAATTTGAATAAAATCTTCAAGAATAAACACTTGGCACATTAATTGTGCTTAAGACATAAATATTAATACCTAGGAAAATTTTCAATGAGAAATACAGACTGTAGCACTAATTTAGTATCAAAAGCACAGCCAAGGTGTATTTTTCTCTAAATCTGTAACACATTTACATCAAATTACCAGGCATAATTTTGAAATTAATTAGAATTCAGAGCATCTGTTTACTTGCTATTAACTAATGATTTAGAAATATCCAAATGAATATGTACTTAAAAAACACATTCAGTAGCACCACTTAACTTGTAAAATTATTCTTGTCAGTTTCAACCTCTATTGTGAAAATTTTATTTTTTAACAAAAGCCACTTATATTCAGGCTGCTCAAAGCTATCAAAATATATCTAAAAAGATGTACTTTGCCGTTTTACTATCAAACTGTTTACAGATAAGCATTTACCACCATTTCTAGTATCTTACCTTAATGTTTAAGTTCAATTCATTGTTAGCATTAACGAAGCTGCTTTTAACCATTATGTTTTCCAATTTTAGATCTCTATGTACTATATCTACCAAGAAAATAAACAACAAGTCAAATGAAATAACGAGGGGATACAAATAGACAAATATATTTAACAGGTTAATATCCACTGCTGAAAAATGTGGGGGAGGGCCAAGCGTAATTCTTCCCTGTTCTGTTCTTATTAACAGGTACTCTTCCCCACATTTCGAACCTTAATTCATTTTCTTTGCATTTCTCATCTCCACCTATTCACCTGTTGCCCCTTCTGGCTGTTCTTTATAAGTGACCTGGTGAGTGTGGAGGAGAATCCTGTCCAAGGTCAGGCCTTCCCAGAGGGAGAAAAACAGTCTTAGTCTCAAGCCCAGCAAGGTTTCCCACATCTTCAGGTCTTTCTAATAGGTGATTACCTCTTTAGCTGTATGCATGTGTTGCTGTCAACATAAACATTTTAACGCGTTGTAACTTGGCTACATGTGAACAAACTGTATTTATTTCAGTATATATTTTCTACACTATCATTATACATTCTCCTACTCTTTGTACGTTAAAATAAAAAAGGTTGGAACACAAAATCTCCAGTTGAATACGTTAGACCTCCAGTAGGATTTTTATGTACATGCAAATAATCATTTGTCAAATATTTCCTTTGCAAAGAACTGATTCAGCTCCTGTCCATAGAAATCACTTCTCTGGATTTAAAAAGTTAAGTGTATAATTGCTGGAAAAAATGTAGTTGAATAAGCTCTGAACTGACAATTATACCTAATCATTTACAGTTACTTTGCATAATCCCCAGACTTTAGGGAAGTTTTATTGTTTCCAATGCTCTGCTTGCCTATTACATAAATACCACACCATTCCAATTACTGTATCTTTATAATGCATTTTGGTCCTTGGCAGGGAAAGTCTCTCTGCTCCTCCATTGTTGCTCTTTTTCATTGTTGTCTTTAGAGTAATTTTATGAGTGCCATGAAAAATACTGTTAAGATTTTATTTAGAATTATACTGAATTTATAGCTTCATATGACAGAATTTACATGAGCATAATATTAAGCCCTAGCAGAAATTGTTGTCCTCTGCCTGGAAAGCCCTCCCCTTTTTGTCTGAGTTTGAATTCCTCAGATCAGATATTATTTCCCCTGAATTCTTTCCTGATCTTTCATGTCAAATGAGACACATTCCTGTGTGTCCTGCACTTTATTTGGTTCTCCCTTACAGAAATCAAACTGAATTACAAGTTATTTTCCATACTCAATCTCCCACTAACCTACATTCCTTGAGGGCTGGGGGTCTTATTTTTTAGTCTTTGTAACCCTGGGACCAATCAAAATGCGGTAGATTCTCAGAAAAAGAGGATGCGGCAAGGCAGCAGCAGCAACACTGAAGGACAGTAAAGACATTAGAATACTTTCTAAACTGTACTTTTTAAAACACTCTGTGTGACAGCACACCATGATGACACTGTAGATAAATGTCATTATTCATAGAATGCACACCAACAGCAAATCCTCATGTAGACTGTGGGCTGTGGGTGATGGTGATATATCAGGGTACGCTCATCAGTTGTAACAAATGTACACTCCAGTGCGGAATTTTGATGGTGTAGAAGCTGTGCATATGTGGAGCATGGAGCACAAGGGAAATCTCTCAACTTTCCTCAATTTGCTGGGAACCTAAACTGCTCTAAAAGTAAAGCCAAACATTCAAAAACAAAAAAGCCTAGAATATATGAATGTTTAATATTACTTCTATGCAAGTATTTAGGAAATTTCACCTTTATCATTGATTTGACTATTCATATTTGACCATATTAGATACTTTTTTAAATTGTTGAATTTAAAACATTTATAACTGCTTTCTTCTGCCTTGTTTCTAATTAAAATATATCTATAAGTAAATTTAAAAGAAAAATATAAATCTTCTATATCACCAAGCTCTGTTTATGTGACTATGAATCCTGAATACAATTGCCCTTAAAAAATGAGATCTGCATTTATAGAGCCAATGAGTCGATGGCCCTCTCTTACCCTTGTTGTGAAGGTATGCTATAGCTGATGCGAGACTTTGGATGATCCACCTTGTCTCATTCTCTGAGAAATGCCCTTTCCTATCCAGAATTTCTTTGAGTTCTCCATCTTCACAAAGCTCCATCACAAGGTACATTTTCTGACGTTATATATTTAAAAGAAAGAAGCAAATCTTAAACAGACAAAAATGTCATTTTTTTTTCAAAAACAGAGAACAGGAAGGCAAAACAAGACCTCTCTGGGGGATTGGTACCAGTGGGAGGGGGAAGAATATAAGGAAAAGGTGTAAGAGAGTGAATATGGTGAAAATATTATGTACACGTGAATATAAATGAAACTGCTCCAGGAATGAGGGGAGGGGGGATAAAAGGGAATGATGGAGGGGATTAATTCAACTATGATACATTGAAGCACTTTTGTAAATGTAACACTGTATCCCAGTACAATAACAATTTTAAATTTTTCAAAAACTAAAATAAAAGAAAGAGTAAGTTACATAGCTGGGTATCTTCAAAACATAATACATTGCGTATATGGTCACAATCTTAATCATCAGTTTCTTCATTCATCATTATTATATACAAGATACTGTACCGGATACTAGAGGAACAAAGAAGCATGAGACATAGTCTTTACCCTTAAGAAACTCACAGTGCAGTTACTATATCATGTGATATGTGCTAGTGGCCCAAAATGCCACGAGGTTACAGAGGAGGGTCAGCCTTTGCCTAAAGAAAGTAAGTGAGGAGAGAATTAAAGCTAGGTCTGGATGTCTTCAATGGGATTTATAGGTAGAGAACATGGGGAATAAACAGGCAGAGCACATGGCATGTGCAAAGACTCTAAAACGTGAGACAGCACTGGCTATGAAAAGAAAAACAAATATCCCGATGTTACCAGCACTGGCAATTTGGTAGGGGTGGGTATTAGTGGAGTGGGAGATGCAACTAGAAAGAACATGTTGGTGTCAGTTTGTAAAGAGTCTTGGATGTCATGCTAAAGAATATGGACCCCACCTCCATATGCAATAAGTCTCTGAGGACTTTCAAGTTAGCGTCTTGGGAGGGAAGTTGTGATATAGTATCAATTTTGCATTCTAAATGAACACTCTAACAATAATGCACAGCAGGAATCAGCAAAATTTTTCTATTAAGGCCAAACCCAAGAGTAAATATCAAGGGTTGCGCAGACCACTACTCAGCTCTGCTGCTGAAGCACAAAAGCAGTTACAAACAATATGACACCATATTTATGCACTTGGAGATTTGAATTTCATTTAGTTTTCACATGTCATGAAATATTACTCTTTTATATTTTTCCAGTAATTTGAAACTGTAGAAAACTTCGCTTGTGGGCCATACAAAAACAGGCAGCAGGCCAAATTTATCTTACAGGCTCTCATGTGCTGACCTCATGTGTTTATAGGGGATCAATGTGAGGCATAGAATGGAGACAAGAAGAGAGAGAAGAAAAAGATGTGAAAAATACCTAGAAGGAAGTAACAGTGGGGCTTAGTGATAATTGGGTGTGGGTGGTGAGGAGGCATGGATAAATGCCTCTTCCATATTTTCTGTCTCTTTTGATACATAGTAAGATTTCTTTAGATATTCCAACAGTAAAGTCATCTATTGAATGAAAAATTCAGTCAACTAAAATGCAAGTCTTTTTCATATATATTGCTATCAGACCCAGCTTACCCTCTATGTCTCCATTCTAACCTATGCTGCTAGACTTTTGTTGTTCTTAAGATTTGGGGGTCTGATTCAGTTCATATAATCACTGCTAATGCAGCTTCTGTGTTCAAACAGTAAGCATTAAAGCAGGAAGAGAAGGCTAACATCCTTTCTTCATATAGCCACAATTCTGATTCACTGAACTTCAGGCTGTTCTAGAATTTCAAAAGTATCTGCAATGTCTCACACATTTATGCTTTTGAACTGGGCCATACTTTTTTCATTGACAGCACTGCATGCAAGATCACTAGTACATGAAATGGTAAGGAACTATTTGGAAGGGAAAGTTGCATTAGCAGTGCTTGTAATGTAAATTGATGTCAACTTTAAATATATAAGTTAATCTGAGTGACACCAATGGAACTCACAAAACAATTAGAAACAATAATTATGATTATTAGAAACTATTGTGTAGAGTTGGAGAGCATTTAGACTCACAAGAATCCACGGCATACTCAGACTGGCTGATCAATAGTAAATACAACCAATTAGTCAGCAGTTTCCTTAACATGGCTTCAATGGAAAGTCAAGGGATTTGTGTGTTGTAGTGCAATGGGGCCAATCTAACCCCACATGAATCAAGTACAAGCAATACACAAAAGGACAGTCACAGATGACAGTTTCCTCAGCCTTTGAACTCTTCCAAATTTAAGCTCCACTTGTGCCCAGGATGGAGGAATAGAGACCAGATTTACCCTTGTGCCTGAAATAGCTTAAGAACTGCACAAAATAAAAAACAACTTCCAGAAATTATACAAAAGAAAATGAGGAGAGAAAAAATATTGAAAAAAGCAAATAGAGAACCAGCATACGATGAACAATATAAAACAATCTAACATAAGTACTTAGAGTCTCCAAAGTGGGGCAAGGAGAGGCAGAAAAAATATTTCAGGAAATAATGTCAAAATTTTCCTAAATGTGACAAAACCATAAAATCATAAACTCTTAGAACCAAGAAGTTCCATGAATCCCAAGCACAAGAAACATGATACCACCAATATACATTGGTAACATATATTTTCATTGCTTACAACTGATGATAAAGAATAAAATGATTCAAAGAGTATTTGGTAATAAAAGAAATCACAACTTGGGGTGGGGATGTAGCTCAGTGATAGACTATGTGCTTAGTGTGTGCAAGGACCTATACTTGACCTCCATCACCAGCAAAAAACCAAAACCCACCAAAAGCAAAATTAAAAATCACAACTAATACTGAAAATGGTATAGAAGACTTGATATCATTGCCATGTACTACTTCCATTAAGGACAACTATAGCCTTGAATTGTTATCAAGGGTTCTTAATGAATGAAGCATAATACTTAAAACCCAAATTGACTAGATTAGAGACTGGCAAAGAAAATGAAGAACAACAGCTAACACTTAATGATACTGATGCTTTATATTCATTGCTCCATTTAATCCATAGTTATTCAATAACCAAATGAAACCAATATGATTAAACCCACTTTACAGATGACAAAAATTAGGTATAGAGAAGCTGAGTAACTTGTCCATGTTCTCATGGGTAATGAATGGCGGAACCAGAAGTCAAATGCACAGGCAATCCGATCTCAGGGTCCACATGCCTAACCACATTATATTGCTTCCAAACAGAGAAACACCCAAGTTCACAAGCTCTAAACAATCTAGAGACAGAATGGAAAACAATCAAGGCTTTTGAACAACTGTAAATGAAAATTACAGGCATGTAAAATTACAGAAGACTGATAACATCTAGGAAAGAAAGAAGAGAGAACACACTGGAAAGACGAAGATGGTGAAATGTTTTCTACATATTGCTACAAATACACCATGCCAATTTGGTTATGAAGTTAATCTTATAAAATTATTACAACATTCCAAGAGACTAAAAACCAACACAAAAGAATATCATCTCTACCTGGTTGTCTATGACGTTCCTCTAATTTTAAACATTCGTTTCCAATATGCCACCCAGAAGACATTACTAAAGGCATGAATCTAATCATCAGACACCTAATTATACAATCAATAATGAAAGTCCTCCAGAACGTGCTCATCAATCTCCAGTGACAGACTCATGCCAAGGACATGAGCAACTGTGCCCCAAAGGGATTACTTCAGAATGGGATGATATTCATTTTGTATAATAACCACTTTCAAAATGCTTTACCTTAGGCGTCTCAAATATTTGCTCGAGATGTATGATGTGTTCATGTTTTACACTTTTCAGGATGCTCACCTCTCGTTCAAGCAACTTCACAGCAGAGCTTCCAGCCTTAATTGATGAAGAAACACAGATTTCAAGTATGAATGTCACGCCTACTTTCTACAATATAAAAGTTGGTTATTTTATTCTTTTTCCTACATTTCTTGATAAGATTCTTTTTCAAATGATATCATGCAGTTTATCCCATAATCAGGTGAAATTATTCACCTTCTTTGTCCAATTTCAAGTTATATTTAATTTGTCTTCAAACTGCATCTACCTCTTGGACTGTTTCTGTGAGTTAGTTATCAAATGATCTCTATCCTCTCACAAAATCATTCCAGCTTTTAATATGCTTTTTGGTATTTCTTTCAAATTCTAGCTGATCCTTTTATGTTGCTATAATGAAAACAGAATCTTCCAGGGACATAAATTGAAGATGGTTTTAGAACAATTTTTTCTTTAGTTTTGTTGCGTTTTGATTTAACTTACATATATAAATTAAGTGCATATTAACTATATATAAACAGATATCAAAAGAAACAATAGGCAATGGGATTCTACACTCAATCCTGCACTATATTACTTTCCTTGTTAACTGAGAGAGAAAGAGAGAGACAGAGAGGGAGAGAAAGAGACCTTGCCTTCAGACTAACCCAACCTCAACTTTATCTCCTAATATCTAACCTTACCATGTCTGGCAGCAAAAGGTAAAGATGGGAATACTCCAGGAGTCCAAGGACTTCAATCAGGGTGCAAGTAACTGATTGTCTACATGTTACCCAAGAAATTCTAGTGGGGCTATCTTCACTCTCACAACTCTCTTCACTGACCATCAACCATGCTAATACAGAAATTGCCATTATTTGACAGCAAGTATTGTTTTCTTTTATGGATCTTACTTCCATTTAAGAACAGTCTTGAAAGGGATAATGCAGGACCTATTTATCCCTCCACCCATCACCTACCCCAGTTTTGGGATACAATGTAAATAGTTCTTAAAGGGACTGATCATTAAGAAAATATTATCTAGTTAAAATTTTATATAGAGTCTGTTCTGCTTTCAATTCTCTTTGCCCTTCGACTTCCCCATCTAAGGATGAGTAGGATACTGACTACCCTGCTATGCCCACCCATGTACGATGAAAGCACATTTTAAGTTCAACCTAGAGGGTCAAGGAAACAGTGACCATGGGGAATAAATTCTTGTGTTGTTACCACAACTTCTCCTAATATCCATTTCAATTCTGCTCCTATCTCCTTCCCCAAATGGCCTGACCTGTTTATAATACAATAATATATTATCCAATTCATATATTGACTATATAATTTTATTTTATTGATGTTGAGTATCCTTCACCATCAATGTTGTGAGAGATTAATTCCTAAAGTTGCAAATAAGTATCCTGTCTATACAACCTAACAGCTGAACCCTTAATCCTACCTGACACCCAAGAGCAAAGGAAATAACATCCCAGATAGAACTGTGGAATGCTACCTAGAGTTCTAAAGAATTATAAAGATTTGAAATCTGGGCCTGGTGGTACATGGCTATAATCCCAGCACTCTGAGGTAGAGACGGGAGGATTGCAAATTCAAGGACAACTTTAGCTACATAGCAAGACCTTGCCTCAAAAGAATTTTAAAAGAATTATAAAGATTTCTAGAAAGGCTTTAACTGCTTTATTAAGGTCGATATGTTACCTTATTAAACTTTAAGGAGAAATTTGCTAGTTTTTAAGAAGAATACCTAAAGCCAACTACTTAATTTTATAAATATATTATTTATCATCATAAAGCCAATAGGAAAACTTTATAATGTCATCATTTTGTCTTTTCCCAGACACAGGAATTTTTACATGTTGATAAAATGATTAGATAGACAAAGAGCTAAATAACAGTAAGGAAACAGAGAATCACATGAAAGGAGAAGACAGAAGAAATGTCTTATCAGAACAGCACAGGTGAATGTATCAGGACTTACTTCTCCTCCTACACATGCTGAGCACTAGCCCTTACTTTTGTCCTCTCTGGTTATATTGGTTATGGCAATCCTTTCATTTGCTTTTTCCAGACAGCATTTGGTTTACTTGAGCTCAAGAACTAGTCCCTTCCTAGGAGACTAGAGAACTACCCACATTTCTGGAGCAGCTCTGCCCAGGCTCTGCACAGTCAGATATAACTCATGTTGGTGTGCAAAGCTATGCTGCCCACACCTGCCCTGCAGAAGCACTGTGCCCTTGGGTGCTGCTGCTTATTGCCTTACCTTTTCTTTATTCACTTTTTTAATTGCCCACTTGGTTTCTGTTTCCTTGTTTGTAGCTTCAATGACCATTCCAAAGCTCCCTTGTCCCAATATCCGTCCAAAGGTGTAGAATTCCTGGAAGCAAAATGATAGTTCTCTCTCTCTCTCTCTCTCTCTCTCTTTCTCTCTCTCTCTGTCTCTCTCTTTCTCTCTCTCTCTCTCATTCATCAGTTATTAAAAATGAATACATAATACTGACAGATATCCACCCAAGGGAAGAGATATTCTTCTCCAGGGTAAATTCAAGTAGGAGACTCTACATATTTGCTTCAACATTAATAAATGCATCTTAATTAACCCAAATTAAGTTTTGGTGAATTTTATTAAATGCTCCCTGTATAAAAATGAATCATTTTCAAACTACACATTATGAAATATTATAATATAAATATGAAATATATGAATCATAATACAAAGGAAATCTCTTTGCAAGAAAAGGGAGAAATGGGATATTAATACATACATACATATATGAGTTTGCTTGTATATTTACACACAAAACAATGTAGTACCCAAAAAATTATCACATAACTCTGAGAGCTATACTACAAAATCAACACAAATAACCATTGAACAACTGCTTCCTGTTTAATAAGTAATGCTCTCTCTTTAATTGTTAATTATTGTTAATTGTCTCTCTTTAAATATTGGTTTTGTTTTATTCATTTAGTTTTAGACAAAACAATATGTAACAGAAATTTCAGTGTAAATCAGAACTGAGAAGAAAATAAACACGCTCCATAATATCAGCTTCCAGATCAAGAATCTTTCTGCTTATCATTTAACTCTTGCTTAAGAAGAGAGAATGCATTGGTTTTGAATTCTAGTTCACATTGTAAAATAAAAAGCACACAACTCATTTATGCTTTCATTTCTTGTGAATTTGGTGAGAAGAGTCTGTTTCTCTGATCCAAATCAACTCAGGAGCATTAAAAAGTTTATGGACCCATCGTGCATGAGTACCAGCTGAACTCTGCTGCCACTAGGTGAAGACTTTGTTGGATCAGGCAGCCAACCCTTCCCTAAAGATGTTATTCTGTCTCTCTGTGTAACCACTTTTATCATCACCACGAAAAAACTTAGCTTCTCATATCTCCTATTGCTTCCCTACTTAACTCTGCACCATTGATCATTGCTTTATTTTTTCTCTCCCTCCAACGTGTATACACAAGTCTTCAACACTATTATTACTCTCTTGTTTATTTTGACTCTTTTTTTCTTCCAAGATAGTACCAGAGCTCTTTAAAAGCTATTTCTTTTATATTGATAGTTCCCTTGGACTATCAATATACACTTTAAAAAAGTGGAGGGCAGAAGGGAAAAATGGGTCTTTTTCCCAGTAGGTACCAGTGGGAGGTGGGTGGGCACAAGAAAAGGGGGAATGGGGAGAATATGGTGGATATATTGTGTATCCATACTTGAAAACAGAAGAATGAAATCTGTTGAAATTGTGCTAAGAAGGGGGAGAGACAGGGAGAAAGAGGGAGAATGATGGAGATATAAGATCATAATATATCATATAACTAAGATATAAGCACATTTGTAAATATTACAGTGCATTCCCCCATACAACTATTAAATGCTAATAATTTTTTTTAAAAAAGACCTAGTTCTTCCTTCTTCCCCAATACCATAGATAGCATAATAGTGAAATCAGTATCAGGAAACTTAAATGAGTAATTACAAAGTAAGACATGACATAATTTTTTTATTATATTTATATGAAACTCCCACCAATATATTATATAAAATAAATTAAATCTCAGTTAACGTGGTCATTTACCTTTTTTCCCAAAGAACAAAATAATCTCTTCATAGCTATTTTTCAATTTTTTTATTGTCCTTTAAAACTAAATTTTCATTTCTCTTCAAATATACAGAACCCAAGTTGAATATAGCATTGTAATACTGCTTAGACACAATTTCTAAAATGAGGAATGGCCAGTTAGATTTTTATAATTTAATCTTGTCAATTAATTGCTTTGATATTATCACATAATGATGAAGATAAGCAGAAAATGACTTCTTGTCTCCAACCCTTTTAAGAGGATTCTATTAAAATGATATTGCATATCTATTTTTATTGACATAGAGGCTCATGATGTAGTGTGGTGTGAAAAATATATATTATATAATCTTTATATACACATGTGTGTGGAAGTGTCTACACTGATGTGTGGAAACTGCTCATCTAAATATTAAAAGTAGTTACCTATGGGTAATATAATTGTGAATGATATAGGTTCTTTCTTTATACTCTTCTGGAATGTTCTGAATATTTTTAATGAGCCTGTCATATTTTTAGGAAAAGAAGCTTAAACTTCAACACTATACCAGGAAAAGTTATTTCTCAGATAGATAGATAGATAGATAGATAAAACATTTCATGATTTAAAACAGGAAAAAATTAAGGAAAATAGAATGAAACTAGTACACATATAGAAAAATGAAATAAAGATAATGGATGTTAAATTGATTATATCTGCTTGGTGATTTCTAATTTTTACTTTTCTATCAACATTTTCTTTTTCTTTTCTTTTTTTTTTTTTTTTTTTTTGCATTTTGCTTTTAGAAACGCTCCTATGGCTAAATTTAAAACTTATTAAATTTATGTATTTTTAAGATGGGTCTTTTATTTAAAGAGAAGAAATTTAAGATTTTCAAGTGAAAATTTCTTAGTATGTTTTCCTGATCATGTCAAAAAAACTGCCAAAACAGTTTTTTTTTCTTTGATAGTTCTAAGGTTTGAACTCTACCCTAGGGTGACACTTTACGACTTGAGTTACATCCCAGCCTGTTCTGCTCTGGTTATTTTTCAGATAGGGTTTCACATTTTGCCTGGGGCCAAGCTTGGACAGAGATTCTCCTACCTCTGCCTCTCATGTAGCTGGGATTGTGCCACCATGCCTGGCCACAATTGTTTAGTAACTAAACATTAATGAAATTTTCTTCTTGTAATTATTCTTACTGCAAATTGAATATTAAAGGAACACATTTTAATTTTTTTAAGTGGATCTAATATTTAATTCATATTTTTATAAAATAATTGGAATCCTGGGGATAATAATACTGGTATTTATCTAATCTGGAAAAGATGGAGGAGCTCATGAAGGATATGATCGCCTCACTACCAGTCTCCAAGGAAGTGAGCAGAGCAGCTAAACCATCTAAAATCACCTGACCTCTACATCTTCAAGAAGTCTACACAAAGATTCCACTGTTGCTTTTAGGAAGAGCCAAAATCCTAGGACAAAAATGTTTTCCTTTTTTGTAATAAAAGGGCCCTCCATTTAATCCTCCTTGAATGGAAAATGCATTTCTTTAATAAAAACCTTGACATACTTGACAATGGTAAATTTCCTCCTGTCTTTACTTCCTTTCTTTAGAGACAGATTTTAAATCATTTTTGCCATTAAACATTGGCTTGGAAGACACCTGCAAGTTTCTAGTAGCTTTGGCTTGCTTCCTGTATACCTCAATGGCAGATCCATTGTCCATTCTTATGTGAGGAACTTTTCCTTCCATATTGTTGGTCCGTCTCCACTGTTGAGATGTTTTTCACTCTAAATTCATGGTTCTTGAGGACTAGGACCAAAAAAGGAATTTTGAAAAATAACTTTAAGATAAAATACTCTTGTTGACGAAGAACTCTAATTTAGATAACCTGACCATTCTTTAATGTGTGCCATAACATTACTGTGTGCAGAATAGCTTATTGTCATTTTCAAATTCTAAATCCTATATAATTCATCAGCTCAGTAGGCTAAAGAAGACTTTAAGAAGTCCAATCTTCTCAATCCAGACAAGTCTTTGTGATGACCTGTGAAGCAAGTACATCAGAGCTTACCTGATTCTTAAAAATCGCCAGCAAAGGCAATTTCACAGCTTTCATAATCACCCTTTTCAAAATGCAAAATCTCTAATAGCTTAAATATAAATTGATCAAACTTTCATAAAATATGTACTGATTGAAAATAACATCACAATAAATTCACTCAGAGATATCTTTGTGGTATTAAGTATACCTTAATACAAATCACAAATAATAGTGAGGGTGAAAGTTTCTTTCTTTCTTTCTTTCTTTTTTTGCAATACTAGAACTCAGAGCCTCACACAAGCATTCTACTACCTGAGCCACGCCCCCCACAGTCCTTTTGCTTTTAGTTTGATTTTCAGACAGAGTCTTGTAATTTTGTCTGAGCTGCCCTTGAACTTTAATCCTCCTACATCTGCCTTCTGAGTAGCTGGGATTATAGGTGTGTATCACCATGCCTGGCTCATTTTTGAGATAAGGTTTCAGTAACTTCTGTCTGGTCTGCCCTTGAATCTCAGTTCTTCTATCTCCATCTCTCAAGTAGCTGGGATTACAGGCCTATAACACCACTTTTCTTAAATTTATTGCTGTGACTTTTCTTAAATTTATTGCTGTCTTCAAAATTGTGCTGGATCCTATTTACAATTGCTAAGCTATGGAATCAGCCAAGATGCCCCACTACTGACAAATGGATTAAGAAAATGTGGTATTTACACACAATGGAATTTTACTCAGCCACAAAGAATGAAGTTTTGTCATTCATAGGTAAATGGATGGAACTGGATAACATCACCTTAAGTGAAGTTAGTCAGGCTCAGAAGGCTGAAAGTCACGTTTTCCCCTATATGCAGATTATAGACCTACAACAAATGCAACAAGTAGTAGAGATGAACCAGTTGGGGTTGTAACACATATATGCATGGAAACAACACAAGAAATCTCCCTGTGTAGCTATCTTTACCTCAAATTAGCAAAAACACCATGTTTCTCTAATTATGCTTTATATTTTTTTCTTCTACAAAATCGGAGAACAGGAGGGCAGAACAGGTTCTGCCAGGGGTTGGGGATGTTGGCACCGGTGGGAGGGGGGAGGCGGCAAGGAAAGGGATAGGAGGGTGAATTTGGTGCAAATAATGTACACACATGTATGCAAATGCAAAAGTGATACCTGTTGAAACTGTTGGAGGAATTAGAGGAGGGGGGATGAAAGACAGCAGTGGAGGGGGTGAATTCAACTATGCTATATTTGCTACATTGTTAAGAACCTTTGTAAATGCTACAATGTACCACCACCCAGCACAACAATAATAATTTTAAAATTATGCTAGAGTGCTAGATCAACTGCAATCTTCCATATTGCATTTTCTCTATATAAATGAATACAGTCAAGTAAGCACAACTAGGTATTTTAGATTGTTTATAACTAAAGCAAACTGATTTTGTAAAGTATACTTAAGCTAGATAACCAGAAATTGTCTTAACGAACAAAGCCATAATAACACTTTGACCATAACTATGAATATCATTCTACATCAATTGAAGAAAATGTTCAACTTGGTTTAACCCAACTTGAAAAAGCAGTCTTTTTCTGTATAAACCATTTTAAAAAAGAGCTGGAATAACATTGCTAATTATTCAGGATACTAAGAAATAATTTGAAAAAAAAGAAATAATTTTGTCAGTGGTTGGAAATATCACAAACCATGTAACTAACCAACTCTGCTCACCTCTTCTGTGAGAAAGAAATATCCCTTAATGGTTAAGAAAGAAAGTAGTTGACTGACAAGGACTCATAAGATATGGAAGAAGATAGGGATGAGGTCAGAGAACTGGATGTCAACTGATGTGGAAATGTAGAATGTTTGATATTTTACCCAATCTTCCCCAAAGTTTCTCTGCTGTAAATTTTTCTTTCTTCTCTGATAAAACTAAAATTTCTGCACTTCCAACACTTGGTGTCTGTGACACCTCCAACTCCAAAACTGGAGAAATGGTTGAACTACAAGAAAAGGCATCGAGTAGATGGTTCTGGGAAGTAGATGACCTGTCAGGGCATTTCGAGTCTTATCTATTCAAGCCACTGTCCCCTATTTGCTTAACTCTGCAGCAAAAATAACTTGAAAGAGTTGTTTCACTTTTTGAGGAAGCAAACCAGATCAAAAAGGATATGATAGGTTGATGGTGAAAACTGCAATTTCCAATTGGTGAAATCTTTAAGTTAATGATGCACTAGACTTAATATTCATACATGAGAGCTGCAGAGAAAAATAAATAAATTCTTGTTCTATAACCCTCCTGGAAATCAGAGAAAAGCTAGTGACCACCACCAAAAGCCTCTTCATATATGTGAAAAGTTCATATTTACAACAAAATTGAACTGTAAAACTGCTATAAAACATGATAAAATCATATATATCAAATTATAGGGGGTATAAAATCAATTTAGTGGATTGATATTAATTTTTTTAAATGAAGTAGATGATATCAAAGAATTGTGCATAGATCCTTGATAAATTCTGTGAAACTTTAATTATACAGATGTATTATAGTGTGCATGGGGGGAGGGGTTGTATTTAGTCAAAGTATTCAGTGTACTTCTTTTTTATTTATTTGTTTTGAGACAAGGTCTGACTATGTAGCCTAAGGTGGCCTCCAACCTTCTATGCCTCATCCTCCCAACTGTTGAGATTACAGGCATGCACCACCACACATGGCTTAAAACATATTTCTTAATGTTGACTGTGGTTTTAAAAAGATCTGAAAGTAATGATGTAAAACACATATTACTGTGTCTTCAAACATTAAAGCCTTAATCTATTTATTATCAGAGCGAAATCCTTTTACACACTTCACAAAGAAATGGGCAATTTGATTTTATAAAACTACCTAATTCTAAAAATTGGAAAGCAATATTAGAAGTAATCTCATTTTTATACCTATATAACCAAAATAGGATGAGTGGGCACTATTTTTTTTCCTGAGTCTAGAATTGGTATCCCAGAATTCTACCTAACTGTGTCCATTGGCTGTGGTATGGTGACAAGTTGGAAAGATCTGAGCTGAGGAGGGAAGGAGGAATGTGCTCTATAACACATATAAGGAAGTACCTTGGGAAATTTCCAGAAGTAACTGGGAATACATCATTAGTGGCTTTGTGTCATACTATTTCAGATCTTTTTAAAAGTATGTATTTTTAAAATATTTTTGGGCAGCACTGGGGTTTGAACTCAGGGCCTCACGCTTGCTAGGTAGGTGCTCTTACTTCTTTGAACCATTCTATCAGCCCCCAAAAGTATATTTTGTAGACAGAAATTCATAAGGTTTGGGATATGTGGAATATACATTTGTCCTCTGAACTATAATAAACTTGAACAGAATAGGAAGTTAAATATCTTCATTTCACTGAGAAATATATTTCTAATCTTAGTTGTCTAAAACTAGCTTTTTAATCAGAAGTGAACATCGACTTTTATCAAATCCTATTTTGATTATAATAATATTTCTTATTGGGTCTTTTTTTTTAAGTATTAGGGTTTTGAACTCAGGGCCTTCCGCTTGCTACCACTTGAGCCACTCCACCAGCCCTCTTTGCTTTAACTGCTTTTCAAATAGGGTCTCACACTTATGTCCATGTCAACCTGGACCACAGAGCTAGGATGACAGGCACGAACCACTACCTCCAGTTTTATTGGTTGAGATGGAGGTCTCATACACTTTCTGCCCAGGCTGACCTCAAACGATCCTCTCGATCTCTCCTTCCCGAGTAGCTGGGATTATAGCCATGAGCCACCACACTTGGTCCTTTATTGGATCTTTTGATATGTCATATTGTATTTAAATGTTTCCTAATATTATAGCATTCTTGCATTTATACTATGAACCCTATGTGATCATGTTTTTATTTTGTCATGTTTTTATTTTGAATTTTCACAGTTATATTCATAACTTAACTTATTCTATAATTTTCCTTTTCTGCCATTCCTGTCAGGTTTTGTTACAAGGTGCTGGTTAGCTTCATAAAATAAATTGGATACTTTTGCATTTTGAACTGCTTGTAACATTCTGCATAGCATTGGAGTCTACAGGAAAATCTGCCAAGACCATAGGATTCTATGAAAGATATTGCTAGTAGCTTATCTAATATTTATCTCCTCCTTTCCCTTACTAACAGAATCCCAATTTTGTTTGGGGTAGCAGTATGCTTTTTACATCTTACCCTTCCTGCCCTCCATTGCAGATCTGAGATGTATATATATATATATAAAATGTGTATATATATGTGTATATATATATTGTATATATATATTTAAACCTTTATTAAAATTCTTGGACAAAACTTCATGGTGGCAGGAACATATGTGATGAAGTTCTACACACATGGCAGACAAGAAGGAGAGAGCCAGACAGAAAGGGGCCAGGGATAACACACCCCTAAGGACCTACAACCAGTGACATTCAGTGAGACCCCACTTCCTAAGGTTTCCAGAACCTCCCAAAAGAGCACTCCAGCTGGTGATGAAGCATTCAAAACATAAGCCTTTGAGGAACATTTCATATTCAACCCATAACATTGTGCCCTGGTCCCCAAAAGAGTAACAGTTCCAACATTACTCAAAAGTTTAAATTCAAAGTCTCTTCTGAGACTCAAGGCAAAGTCTTAGTTGTAAGTGCCTGTAAAATCAAAAGGAAAGTTATATACTTCCAACATACAATAGCACAAATAAATGCTACACTATATGTATAGTACTCGTATTATGATATGAGGAATAGGAGAATAATAAGGAAGCATCAGATCAAAGCAAGACTGAAAGCAGCAGAACAAACATTGAATCCTGTAGCTCTTTATCTGGCCTCAGAGGCATGTGGTATCATAATCTGAGCTCCAAAGGGCTCAGGCATCACTCCCCTCACAGCCCTGCAGCCCACATGTCCTCTTTCTTGGGCTGGCTCCACTTGTTGCCTCCTGCTCTCATGGGTAGATGTCTCGTGTTCCTAGCATCTCCAACATCTTTAGGGCTCCACTGAAGCTTAGGCTTCACTCTCACAGCTTCACATATCACCCTTTCAGGGGCTGCCTTCAGGGATCCTGACCCTGACACACACTGCCTGGCCTCTCGAGGATTTCCTCTGAACTCTGGGTGGAAGCCTCCACGACCTGTAACTCTTTCATTCTGCATGCCAGCAAAAGTAGCGTTATATGGACAATGCCAAGGCCTGCCACTGTTTCAAGCAGTATCTGGGCCCCTTTTGGTCCATAGCTGCAGTAACCTCTGAGTACCTGGGTAGCTGAACCCAGGGACATACTTCCCTAAGCGCCCCTGTGTGCGCAGGGTACCCTGATAGCACTCTCTTCTCAAGGGAAGTCTTGAGAAGAGACAATTTTACACCCTTGAGCCTCTAATAGGTGGGGCCTGGCCAATTCCTGAGATGCTTTCAAAGCATCTTTCTTATTGCACAAGGACAGAGTGTTTGGCTTCTTTTTAATGGCACTAATTTCTTTAACAACCACAACCTCTTCATCCACAACTTTTGACTTCCTCCTTTTCTGATGAGACTACACATTTTTCAAATCCTTCTGCTATGCTTTTTGCTCCTAGTTCTCACTGCAAACATGGCTAAAAGCAGCCAGCAACAACCATGCCACACTCTGGCAATGTTATCTTGAAATTTCCAAATCAATTAGGCTGTAACCTTAATTTTGGGGGGTAGTATTGGGGTTTGAACTCTGGCCTCATTCTTGGTAAGAAAGCACTCTGTCACTTGAGCCATGCCTTCACCTCTTTTTGCTTTAGATATTTTTCAGGTAGGGTCTCGCAGGGTCCAGGATCAGCCTCAGACAAAGATCCTCTTATGTATGTCCTACAATGTTTGTAGGACCACAGGGTTGTGCTACTGCACCCAGCTTACTGGTTGAGGTGGGGTCTCATGAACATTTTGCCTGGGCTGGCCTCAAACAATGATCCTCCTGATCTCTGCCTCCTGAGTAGCTGAAATTACAGGCTTGAGCATCATACCCACCAAGGCTATCACCTTAAACTCATCCACAAAGTTCAGGAGACAGACAAAATGTCAAAAAATTATTTGCCAGCATGTAACATGAATAGCTTTTAGTCCAATTTCCAATAGAGTCCCTAAGCACAGTCTTTACTATCTGCATTTCTCTTAGAATTCTGGTCTTCTGAGCTACCACCAGAATAGTCTATTAAACTCTGCTTATACCATTCTAGGTTTTCTCTAGTCAACAACTCCTAAATTTTTCAAATTTCTCTTGTAAATTAGTTCCAAAGGTATAAAAACAACATGATCAATTCTAGTCAGAGCAACAACCCCACTTCTCTGGCAACCAATTTTCTAATTATTTACCTTCTTTCACTGTAACAGAATGTCTGGCATAAATAACTTAAAAGGAGGAAAGATTTATTTTGGCTCATGATTTTCGAGGGTTCAATCCATTGTTGCTTGGTCCCATGTGCTTGGGCAAAGCATCATGGTGGCAGAAACATGTGACAGAGGACATTCTACAGACATGACAGACAGGAAGCAGAGAACCAAACAGGATGAGGCCAGGGATGATATATCCTCAAAGACCCCTCCCAGTGATACCATTCCAATAGCTAGACCTCATTACCTGAAGTTTTCAGAACCTCCCAAAATAGAGCCTCCAGCTGGGGCCCAAAGCATTCAAAACATGAACCTATGGGGTACATTTCATATTCAAGCCATAAGAATAAATAAGCAGCCAAATGTAAAAGAGAGAAAAATTTGATTAAGTAATAAAATTTAAGATGAACAGAAATGACAAAAATGTCATTTTGAAAATTTCAACATTTGTTGAATTTTGCCTATAAGGCTCCAAATAAACTGATCCATCATCCCATGTCAGATTTCACCTCTCTCTCTCTCTCTCTCTCTCTCTCTCTCTCTCTCTCTCTCTCTCTCTCTCCTCTCTTTCTCTCCCTCACCCTTGCTATTCCTTGAATATGACTAGCGTGTTCCTTTTCAAGGTGTTTGCCCTTCTGCTTCCTCTACCTAGTATGCTCTCTCAAAACGTACCTGCTCCTTTGCTTTCACTGCAGTTTTTGCTTATGTGGGAAGCTTTCCTTCTCTGCCTCATCTAAAACAGGAGGCCTGTTCACTCAATCCTCTCACATTATTTTTCTTCAGAAGACTTATCATTTCACTTAGGATATTTTATATAGCAGAGTTCTTCCCCATTTTTAGTGAGCAGGTGCTTCCCATAAAACCTTCAGAGCAATACAAAGTCATCTAGTTCATATGACCATAGCAGTGTTTCCAAAATGGGAAGGCGGCGGGGCTCTACTGACCAAACTCTCACTTGAGAATAAGTACAAAAATCCTAAATGCTGTACTTGTTTTCACCCCCAAGTAATGTATACAATGTAATCTAAGATTATAGACAACTCAGTCAATTAAAATGACCTTTCATCAAAGTGGTGAGAAAAAATTCTTTTACTGTTAAAACTCATAAGAGCAAGCATGAGGAGCAGCATGTAAAAAGCACCCTCCAGACAGAGGGGTAAAAGAATGTACTTGATGCAACAACTAAACACACACCAGGCACACGCACATGCACACTCGAGCTCTTACCAATGCTTAACCTTGTTCTTTAAGTATATGTAGCAAGAATGTACCTGTATACTCTTTGCAAAATGATTTCACTTTAGGCCTGGAAGAAAATGTTTTGCATTTCAGGTTAAAAATAAAGCCTGTAACCATCAATGACTCAGAGCAGGAGAATATTCTGCAAATAACAGGTTTTATGTTCAGGAGAAAATAGTGTTTTCTCTCTGCAGGTGTAAAAAAGTCCCGTGTCAAACAGGCAAGGCGTCATTCTATGTATGAATTAAGAATACTGATTATATGGTACTTTTTATAAGAAACCATAAGAAGTGTTTATAATGTAAAAGTTTATTTAATTGTAGCTGTTTCCTTGTTGTAAACAGTACTCCTCCTAAAAGCATGCTTATCACATCCTTTAAATTTTACAAAATTTTGCAAATTTTCAACAGAATATTTAAATATTAAATTTCCTATTTTCTTCTGTTGCATTGTGAGAGTTCTACACAAATTTTGAATATTAACCCTTAACAGATTTGTGGCTTGCAATTATTTTCTCATCTGTAGGTTGCTTTTTCATTTTGTTGATTGTTTCTTCTGTTGTATAGAATTTTTTAGTTTGATGCAGTCTTATTTATTTATTTATTTTGACTTTTGTAGCCTGAGCTTTTGGTGTGGTAGCTCTAATCCCAAAAGTCATTGCCAAAGTCAGAGTCTAGAAGCTTTCCTTATGTTCTTTGAATATATAGTTTTAGGTTTGTATTTAGATCTTTTATCCATTTTGAGTTAATTTTTGTGCATGGTACAAGATAAGGGTGCAGTTTAATTCTTTCATATATTTAAATTCAGTTTTCTCAGGAGAGGGAGGGGGTGGAGTGGGTGGTAAGGGAGGGGGTGGGGGCAGGGGGAAGAAATGACCCAAGCCTTGTATGCACATATGAATAATAAAAAAATAATAATAAATTCAGTTTTCTCAGCAGCATTTATCCCTTCCTTTACTGTATCCTCTTGGTAACCTTATCAAAAATTAGCTGACTGTATTTGCTTGGATTTGTTTATTTCTGGCTTTGTACTCTGTTCCATTGCTCCATGTGTCTGTTTTTATGCTTCTACTGTAGTGTTTTGTTTACTATAGCTTTGTAGCATAATTTTAAAACAGGAAATATGATGCCTCTGACTTTTCTTTATCATTATTGTTTTAGCTCTTTGGGGGACTTTTTGTAGTTCACATTTCTTTTTACTCCTGGATTTTTTTTTTTACTCCTGTGAAGAATGTCATTGGAGTTTTAATAGGGATCATGGTAGGTCTGTATGTTGCTATGGGTGGCATGGATATTTTCAACAGTATTAATTCTGCTCATCCATGACAACTTTCCATTTATTTGTGCTTTCTATAGTTTCTGTCATGACTGTTTTATAATTTTCAATGTGCGAAGTTACCATCTCCTTACTTAAATTTATTCTTAGGTGTTTACTTTTTTATGCTATCAGAAATTGGAGTGTTTTCTTCATTTCTCTTTAAGATAGATCATTATTTAAGTATAGAAATGCTACTTATTTTATATGTTGTTTTTAATGTGCTGCAACTTTACTAAATTCATGTATTCATGGTAGTCGTTTTGTGGACTCTTTAGGGTTTTCTACATATAGGATCACGTTATCTGTGATAGAAATAGTTTTAGTTCTTTGTTTCTGACTTGGTTGCCTTTTATTTCTCTTTGCTGTTTGTCTACTCTTCCAATATTACATTGAATAGGAGTGGTGAGGGTGGGTATCCCTGCCTTGCACCAGTCTTGATGAGAAAGCTTTCAGTTATTTCCCATTGATTACGGTAGCTGTGGATTTTTCATGCCTTTCTTATGTGGCAAAACTTCCCTTCTACACCTAAACTGTTAAGATATTTTATCAAGAAGGGATGCTGAACTTTTTGTCAAACGCTTTTTCTGCATCAATTATGATAGTCATGGGGTTACTATCTTTCATTCTGTCAATGTGATGTATCATAATGATTGATTTGCAAATGTTAAGCCAGCCTTGCATGCCAAAGCAAATCCTATTTGGTCATGATGTATAATCTTTTTGTTGAGTTGTTGAATTTAGTTTCTAATATTTAGTGAGGATTTTTGCATAGATATTCATCAAAGATACTGGTCTCTAGTTTTCTTACTTGCAGTATCTTTGGTGGCTTCAGTATGAAGGTGATGCTGGCCATATAAAATGTGTTGAGAAATATTCCCCTTAGGTCTAATTTTTGGGAAGCATGTAAGAAGTGTGTGTAATAATTATTCTTTGTGTGTATGGTAGAGTTTAGCTGTGAAGCCATCTGGTCCTGGGCTTTTCTTTGTTGGAAGATTTTTAATTGCTTCCTAAATCTCTTTACTATAACCCAATTTTAAAAATGAACAAAGGACCTGAAGATTAAGTCTCCAAAAAAGACATGAAAATAGCCAGCAAGTATATGAAAAAGTGCTCAGCATCACTAATCATAAGGAAAATGTAAACAAAACCACAATGAGATATCTCCCTATACCCATTAGGAAAGTCATTTTTGGAAAAAAAGAAAAAAAGACAAGAAATAACAAATGTTAGTGAGAATGTG